AAACTGGAAATAGGAAAAGAGTTATTACAATCGAGACCGAAAGGTTTAGGTTAGCAATGTTGGAACTGTAATGCATACACACAACAAGAGTATTATTAGCCCCCGGAATTAGTGAGAATAGACTGTAAGCCCCCATGCAAGCGCTGAAAATCGGTGTTAAGAAGTCCAGAGTGTTAGAAATATCAGCAGAGCAGAGGTGTCGAGACGAGAGATGGATTTGGGGATGTTTTGCCTCGTTTGGTGTAAAGACTGCTTGATGACTTCAAAATCATCAACATAACCCAATAAAATCAGCAAAAGGCCATAATTTATTAGCTGGAGAATGGTCTTAGAAGAGGGTAGGTAGATAGTTCCTTAGAGTACGGCAGTATGAAAATTGAATAGAAATTGAAAATCAGCAAAGGGCCATTAATGCGATAACTAGTACAAAGTCAAACGCACACTTCTTCTTCCGCAGACAGTATATGAGCAAAGGCGTGCGCACACTTTTTTGCCTGTAGATTTGAAGACATACTTCAAATCTCCGCGTACATCGTACGGGTTAGGCAAAGAGTGTGCGTTTGACTTTGTACTGTCGCATGATTGGCCCTTCGCTCATTTTCAACTTCTATTCAATTTTCACACTGCCGTACTCTAACGGAACTATCTACCTACCCTCTTCTAAGACCATTCTCTAGCTAATAAATTATCACACTAAAGCTTCATGAAGAAGTTCTGAAAAATGCAGAAAAGCGTTAGAAATCCAACCAGGGTACCTGAAAACTTCAGTAACTTTCAAGAAAATTTAAAAAATTAGGGGCCTCATCGAAGCTTTAGATGCCTGTTAAAAAATACAGGCAACCTCACTAGAGAATTTAGAGAATTTTACAAAACGGCAGAAATGTAAGCCTCAAAAAAGCTTTGGAAACCTGGTTCAAGATCAATAAATTTCACCTCAGGCTTTGAAAAACCTTAAATATGATCTAGGAACCTAACAGGACTTCAGAGAAGTTCAAAGTAAATTTTAAATGATCATAGAATTTCGAAAAAAAAAATCCACACGAAATTCAGAGAATCTCAGTGAAGTTTAGGGTATTTGTGAGACTTTTAGATAACTTCAGAAAAGTCTAAAGACCCTAAGAAAAGATTGGGAAACCTGAGAATAAATCAAGGGTCCTCAGCTTTGTAAATTTTTCCAAGACTCTTGGAGGATTTCCTCCGGGTTTTCGCCCTGGAAGATCCTCCAGGAAATTTTGGTCATTTCCACCAAGAATTCTAGGAGCATTAGGCAATAAACATGGCAAGTTTGGTAAAGGTTTTAAAGCATTCTTCCTGTCCAAATCAAAATTGTTACTTGAGTTCCCCCAGTAATTCGAGTAGAATTCTACAAGACTTCTCGCGGGATTTCTATTAAACCTCTCGCGGGATTTCTACTGATACTGATTTCTACTTATAAAAAAAAAACTCTACAAAGGATTTTGGGAGAATTTTACCGGAAATTCTAGGCGAATTCCCTCTAGAGTTCTGAAAAAAAATCGTAGGAGATTCCTTCGAGAATTCCTCCGGAAATTCTGGGAACATTCCACCGGGAAATACTGCGAGAACCCCCGAGAGAGACTCTAGCCGAACTTCTCAGAGGATTTTTGGAGAAGTTCCCTGGAGATTCAGGAGGAATTTTCCTGGATAACTCCTAAGGAGAGTGCTGGGAGAATTCTGAATGAATTCACTCAGAAGACACTGGAAAATTTCCCGGAGATGTGAAGAAAGAATGTCCCAGAAATCAATGGAGTAGGAAGCTCCAGGGTGCCCGCAGAGAATTCATCCGGCGAATTTTACCAGATATTCTGCGAGAATTCCCCGCGAAATATTTGGGAACTCCCGCGAACATTTTGGGAGAATTCACCAGTATCATCAGGAAGAATCGCCCTGATCAGTCAAGAATACTTCCGCCATGAATTATGGAACAATCCTCCCGGGAATTCTGTGAGCAATCCAAGGGGGCGACTCCATGTAAGATGCAGCAAAAAAATGGCTTTGCTGTTGTGAGATGCGTGCATGCTTAGTAGATGGAAGTAAGATTGATGCGGATTTTGAAGATTTCCTGTGAAAAGGTGGAGAGCGATGCGAGGGATGAAAATCGATTTTTCGAAATTAGGGATTGTAAATTTTCCCAAGAACTCTTGGAGAATTCCCTCCGGGTTTTCGCCCTGGAAGATCCTCCAGGAAATTTTGGTCAATTCCACCAAACATTCTAGGAGAATCAGCAAATGAACATGGCAAGTTTGGTTAAGGTTTAAAAGCATTCTTCCAGTCCAAATCAAAATTGTTACCTGAGTTCCCCCAGTAATTCGAGTAGAATTCTACAAGATTTCTCGCGGGATTTCCATTAAAACTTCCGCGGGATTTCTACTGATACTGATTTCAACTTATAAAAAAACTCTCCAGAAGATTCTGGGAGAATTTTACCGGAAATTCTAAAAAAATTCCCTATAGAGTTCAGGAAAAAAATCGTAGGTAATTCCTTCGAGAATTTCCTCACAAATGCTGGTAACATTCCACCGGGAAAAACTGTGAGAACTTCCGAGAGAGACTCTAGCCGAACTTTTCAGAGGATTTTTGGAGAATTTCCCTGGGGATTCTGGAAGAATTTTCTTGGATAACTCCTACTAAGAGTGCTGGGAGAATTCTGAATGAATTCACTCAGAAAACAGTGTAAAATTTTCCGGAGATGTGAAGAAATAATGTCCCAGAAATCAAAGGAGTAGGAAGCTCCAGGGTGCCCGGAGAGAATTCATCCGGCGAATTTTACCAGATATTTTGCGAGAATTCCCCGCGAAATATTTGGGAACTCCCGCGAACATTTTGGGAGAATTCACCAGTTTCATTAGGAAGAATCGCTCTTATCATTCAGGAATACTTCCACCGGGAATTATGGAACAATTCTTCCGGGAATTCTGAGAGCAATTCAAGGGGGCGACTCCATGTAAGATGCAGCAAAAAAAAAATGCTTTGCTGTTGTGAGATGCGTGCATGCTTAGTAGATGGAAGTAAGATTGATGCGGATTTTGCAGATTTCCTGTGTAAAGGTGGAGAGCTATGCTAGGGATGAAAATCGATTTTTCGAAATTAGGGATTGTAAATTTTCGCAAGAACTCTTGGAGAATTCTCTCCGGGTTTTCGCCCTGGAAGGAAATTTTGGTCAATTCCACCAAGAATTCTAGGAGAATTAGCCAATAAACACTGCAAGTTTGGTTAAGGTTTAAAAGCAGTCTTCCAGTCCAAATCAAAATTGTTACTTGAGTTCCCCCAGTAATTCGAGTAGAATTACTGGAGGAATCCCCGGGGGATTTCTACTGATACTGATTTCTACTTATAAAAAAAAACTCTCCAGAGGATTCTGGGAGAATTTTACCGGAAATTCTATGAAAATTTCCCTAAAGTTCTGGAAAAAAATTGCAGGAGATTCCTTCGAGAATTCCCCCGGAAATTCTGGAAACATTCCACCGGGAAATACTGCGAGAACCCCCGAGAGACTCTAGTAGAACTCATGAGAAGATTTTTGGAGATTTTCCCTGTGGATTCTGGAAGAATTTTCCTGTATATCTCCTACTGAGAGTGCTGGGAGAATTCTGGATGAATTCACTCAGAAGACACTGGAAAATTTCCCGGAGATGAGAAGAAAGAATGTCCCAGAAATCAATGGAGTGGGAAGCTCCAGGGAGCTCGGAAAGAATTCATCCGGCGAATTTTACCAGAGATTCTGCAAGAAATCCCCCTGAAATATTTGGGGAATACCCGCGAACATTTTGGGAGAATTCACCAGTTTCATCAGGAAGAATTGCCCTGATCATTCAGGAATACTTCCGCCGGGAATTATGGAACAATTCTTCCGGGAATTCTGAGAACAATCCAAGGGGGCGACTCTACCTAAGATGCAGCAAAAAAATTGCATGAGATGCGTGCATGCTTAGTAGATGGAAGTCAGATTGATGCGGATTTTGAAGATTTCCTGTGAAAAGGAAGGGATGAAAATCGATTTTTGACCTTCTAAAATTGTGATTTCAATGTATAGCACCCCATGGAAATTTAGGTAAAGTTCACCGAGAATTTTCCCGAGAGTTCTGGAATAACTCTCTTAGGAATTATGGGAGAAAATTCGCTAGGAATTACTCTAAGATTCTGGGCGAATATTCTACAATATGAGGGGAAATTTCTTAGATGTTAGGGATTGTCCATAAGCTTAGGTAGATAGTTTTTGGGCGATTTAACCGCCCCTACTCCCCTTGCCTAGACCGTTGTTTACATGTTGTATGAACCGTAGTCACTCACTAACACCTCGCCTATGCCATCCAAGCTCTAGCGTGGGAGAACTCTCCGGGAAATACTGCAAGAATCCCCCAGAGAATGCTTGGACTCTTCTTAGAGATTTTAGTCCTGAATTGCGATATGATTTTATTCTGTGAATCCTAAAAGAACACATAGAGAGAAAATGCTGGGTAAATTTCCCTTGAGATGTGAAGAAAATTTTCCCGGATTTCAAGGGAGAATGACATAGAAAGCTTTGGAAGCATTTTTCTTCAGGAATTGTTTTCAGAATTTTGTCAGAAATCCTGCGAGAATGCTCCCTTAAATGTTTAAGGAATTGCTGCGAAAATTCTGGGAAAATTCACCAGGAAGAATTTACCCGGGAATTCTGGATTATTCCCCTCGATAATTCTGGAAGAATTCTAAAGCAAATTATGGGAGAATTTCCACGGAAAGTTCTGAGTGAATACCCATGAGAAGTTATGGGTAAATTCCCAAGATTTTCTTCTGGGAAACATTCCGGAATCCTGGTTGAACTTTCAGGAATATTTCTTACTGAAAATGCTGGAAGAATTCTGAGAGGTTTTGTTCCTGTATGCTGGTAGAATTTATTGCTGATTAATTCTGAATAATCTCTATGAAAATAATAGGTGAATTCACCTGGATTATTTGGGCAAAAAAATCCTGGCAGACAGTTCAAATGCAGATTGTGGAAATGTCCCGCAATTTCTGAGAGAATTCTAACAGAAATTTTGGGAGAAGACCTTCGGGAATTTTTCGGTGAACTCCCACGAGAAGTTATGAGAAAATTCCTTCAGAGATTTGAAGAATCTTATTCTGAAATTCTGGTAGAATTTTCTAGGACATTTCCTATTGAGAATGCTGGGAGAATTCTTAGAGATTTTGTTCTTGAATGCTAGGAGAATTTTCTCTGAAATCCCTTTGGAAATTCTAGGTGAATTCACCTGAAATATTTGGGGAAAAATCCCGGTAGATCTGATTAAATGTCTTCGGAATTTCAGGATGAATTTTAACGGAAATTTTGGGAGAATTTCCCCTGGAAATTCTAGGTGAATTCCCACGACAAGCTATGAACAAAATTCCCCATTCATTCTTATTGTAAGAAACTTTTCCCTGGGAATCATTCTGGGATTCTGGATGAATTTTATAGGAGATTTCCTTTTGAGAATGCTGGAAGAAATCTGGAAGATTTCGTTCCTGAATGCTGTTAGAATTTTCTCTGGAACATTCGGGAAAAAATCCATATGGAAATTGTTTGTGAATTCGCCTGGGATATTTGGGGAAAAAATCCTGTCACATCAGTTAAAAATGTCCTCGGAATTTCGGGTAGATTGTGGGATTGTGGAAGAGTTCCACCGGGAAATTCTTGGTGAATTCCCACAAGAAGTTATGGGAAAATTCCCTCGGAGTTCCCCTGGAAATCATTCTGGGATTCTGGTTGAAGGAAGGAAGGAAATTTCCTATTGAGAATGCTGGAAGTACTGTGAGAGATTTTGGGAGAATTCGGGAATGCTGGAATATTATCCCCGGTAATTCAGAATGAATTATCCCGAGATTTTCCCGAAAATTCAGCCACAATTCCCAGAGAGTTGAAAATGCTGGAAGAGTGCTAAGAGATTTTATTCCAGATTTAAGGGAGGGTTTTGTCTCTGAAAAATCCGGAGTGAATGGAAATTATTGGTGAATTCGCTAGGGATGCTCAACTAATCTGGTAGAATGGCTCCGTGAGCTCTAGGGGAATGTTGCCGGGAATTTCAGAAGAGCTTCTTAAGAAACCCTGCGAGAATGCGGGACAACTCATGCGAGAATTGTGAGAGAATTCACTTAGGAATTGTAGAAGAATTCAATGGCGAGTTTTGGGAGAATTACTTTGGAATTTCCAAGAGAACGCATCTGAAAGTTCTGGTCGAATTACCCTGGCAATTGCGCGAAAATTTCTACAGGAAGTGTGGAAGTGTTTTGGGAATTGTCGCGGAAATTTCACCGTGAATTCTGGGAGAATTCATCCGGGAATGCTGAAATACTATCCCAGGTAATTGAGAAAAAATTCTCCCGGTAGTCCGGTGGAAATTATCCGGAATATACTGCATCCGGAATATACTTTTCCCAGGGAATCATTCTGGAATTCTGGATGAATTTTATAGGAAATTTCCTTTGGAGAATGCTGGAAGAACTCTGGGAGATTTCGTTCCTAAATACTAGGAGAGTTTTTTCTGGAACATTCGGAAAAAAATCCCTATGGAAATTCTTGGTGAATTCGCCTTGGGAAAAAAAATCCTGTCGCATCAGTATAAAATATTCTCGGAATTTCGGGAAGAATTTTAACGAAAATTGTGGAAGAGTTCCACCGGGAAATTCTTGGTGAATTCCCACGAGAAGCTATGGGAAAAATCTCCCATTTATTCTTATTTTAAAAGACTTTTCCCAGGGAATCATTCTGGAGAGAGTTCAAAATGCTTGAAGAGTTTTTAGTGATTGTATTCCCGATTTCTGGGAGAGTTTCGTCTTAAACATTCAGAATGAATGGAAATTGAATTCCATGGGAAATTCTGGGAGAATTTCTTTGGGGTATTCAACAAAACGCACCTGGAAGTTCTGGTAGAATTAATGGGAAAATTTCTCCAGGAAGTGTGGAAGCTTTTTTGGGAATTTCCGCGGAAATTTCAGAATAACCAGGAATTCAGGGAGAATTTTCCCATGAGATTCAGGAGAATCCCACCGTGAATTTTGGAAGAGTTCTACTGGATATTTTGAGAGAACTCCTCTGTTGACATCAGGAAGAATTCTTCTGGGAATGCTGGAATATTATCCCCACTAATACAGAAAGAATTCGCCCGAGAGTTCCGTGAGAATTAACCGGAAAATATTGCAATAATTTTCCGAGAGTTCAAAATGCTGGAAGAGTTCTGAGAGAATTTATTCCCGATTTCTGGGAGAGTTTTATCTGAAAGAAATTAAGAATGACTGGAAATTATTGGTGAAGTCGCTAAGTATAATTGCGGGGAAAATCTGGGAGAATGGCTCCGGAAGCTCTAGAATAATGTTAAGGACTTCTTAAGAAACCCTGCGAGAGTGCGGAACAATCCATTCGTGAATTGTGGGAGAATTCACTTAGAAATTGTAGAAAATTTCCCCCGTCAATTTTTGGAGAACTCCCTGAGGAGTTCTGGGAGAATTACTCCAGGAATTGAGAGAGAATTCCTCCAGGAAGCGTGCATATTTTTTAGAATTTCTGTGGAAATTATAGAATAACCAGGAATTCAGGGACTATTCTCCCATGCGATCTTGGAGAATTCCACCGTGAATTTTTGAGGTGTTCCCCTGGATATTCAGAGAGAATTTCTCTGGGACTTCAGAAAAATACCGAGAAGGAGAATTCATCCGGGAATGCTGAAATACTACAGGAATCTCCAGAGAGTTGAGAATACTGGAAGAGTTCTGGGGGATTTCATGTCTGATTTCTGGGAGGTTATTTTCTGAAAAATTCCGAATAATTTTCTATGGATATTCTGGGTGAATTGGGTTCTTTAATTTTGAAAAATACATCGGTTACTCTGAGCACAATCAAGATTTAAAGCAAAATAACCACTTCACTGTTTGACGCAAAACTAACAAATTGAGAACACGCGAAGTACCACCGAGGGGCGTTAATGTAATCACACTTAATTAAAATAGTTCCAGTGCTCCATAACTGATGAAATATTGGGTTTCGGTTCCATTTGGCATGTAGAATACGAATATGCAATTACTTCAATACCCCTGAAGAACCCCATTCGCCTTAGGTGTTAAGGAAATAAATCACGATAAATGGGGGGGAAATGTCTTTGGAATTTCAGAAAAATTTGTTCGAATACCCTGTGAGAATTCCCCAGATAATTACGGGGGAATTCTTCCAGAATTCTCTGAAAAAATTCTCCGAGAGTTGAGGGAGAATTCCCTCAGGAATTATAGTAAAATTCATCCGTGAATTCTAGAAGAATTCCAACGGGAATTCTGGGAGAATCGCTTCGGAAATTCCAAGAGAATGCATCTGATTTTTTTGGGAAATTTGTGGAATAATTCTTCTGGTAATTTTGGGAGAATTCCTCCGTGAGTTTCAGGAGAATTCCTCCTTGCGTTCAAGGAGAATTCCACCGTGAATTCTGGAGGAGTTCTACCGTAAATTCTAAGAGCATTCATCCGGGACCTCAGGAAAAAGTGAGAGGTTGTATCCAAGACACGACCGTAGATTTGACGTGCTCAGTATCAATATTCGGCGACTGTGTTAGGCAATCGGTTGTTGATAATGTTGATCACCATTGCAACAGTTGTAAATTTGTGTAATTTTCAATAGTGACCTATTGAAAAATGATAAAGTGTTCATTTTAGCAGATTCGCAGAAAACTTTCCAATCGATTGGCTTATTAAAAATTAAAATCCATTCGCTATTGACAGAGTTACAAGTGGTCAAAGCCTGACCACTTTTCGTGACGTGGGCGATTTTGGTTTATTGAAATTGCACCCCCAATATGTTGCCATATTTCTCTGGATATCTCAGAGATGTTACTTCAGAAAAAAATCAACAAAGAGAAGCTTTCGAAACACAAGAGAGCTCAGGGAACCTAAGAGAGCCTAAAGTATAATCGGGAGAGCAAAGATGAGTTCAATGAATGTTGTTCAGGGCAACTCAAAACAGTGCAATGTACTTCAGAGATGTTCAGAGAACTTCAAAAAAGTTCAAGGAACTGCACATAAGTTTGGGACGTAGAGGAGGTCATAGACCCTCACTTCAGGGGCTGTTTGGATAAGTTCAGGGAACTCTAGAGAAGTTCAAGCTTTTTCGAACAAACTACGATGCCATTTCCAGTATTTAGTTGAGAAGATCTTATACCAAGCAGTCATTATACCGAGCTAAACAATCCCTCAAGCCAAATTAATACGCGATGACTATGCAAAATCTACGAAGACAATGTTGAAATCAAAATCAAAGGTAGTGCCAAAACAGAAAAAAAGAATCATCGGTGGCGAATGTGTATTTTAAAGTAGATCAAACAAACAACAATGGACGATCGGTGGAAGAGTAGAATATTACAATTAAGGAGTACCAGTAGTAATACATAGAAACAGATACCAATTTAAGGTGAACAATTAGGAACACACGCGGTTACAAATTTCCTCCGATGGAACACTGAATGACCTAGTCATATTAGGAAGTATTTGAACGATAGCAATAAATAAAAAATCCTGACAAGCGGACATGTTTCAATCGTAAATTCTCACCGTCCCAGAAACCTCAAAGATACTCAACATTCACACAGGGTGCCTCTTTGTCGGGCCTGACAGAAAGGTCGTTCTGCCGAAAAACGTCCACCTTGGAAAGGTAAGTCATTGTGAAACTGTTGGAAATCAAACTTCTTACCGGAATGCTGCTCTTCGATACGGTTCTCTGAAAATGAAAATAATTCTATTAGTTCCACTTCCGTTTGTTGACAGAGACACAGACAAACAGACGTCGCACATCTCGCGATTTACCATTCAAGCCTTCATGTTGCACAGAAAGCTCGCATGGTGTCGCCACTGTTCGTCTGCGATTGGGACTTACCTCCTCCTCCTCATCCGTGCGGCGGGCCACCCAAAACTGCCTCAGCAGTGCGTGGGTAAAAAATTGATACCTCCCGCGGTCGATCGCTATAAAGTATCCCTGAATCGAGTACGGTTGATCCGGTTCCATCAGCACCTGACCGCAAGCATGATCCAACCGCCGGTAGACAATCTTGGCCTGCAACAGCTCCCGAACCAGCTGGTCCGCTGCTAGTTGGTGCTCTTCCTTCTGCCCCTGCTGCCCGGATTCTGGCCGTTGTGGCTCGGACTCGGATGCTGCACTCTAAGCCGTCAGGCCAGGAAGAGAAACGAACCGGAATGGTAATCAGAGTGCAAATTGAAAAATAAAAATGGAAATTATAGCAATCAGCAATCGCGAACAGTGCCAATCAATTTTTAATTGTCTGCGAGTGTTTGTGTGTGTGTATCGGTAGGTGGGTCAGTGGGTGCGTTCGTTTGAAGAATTAATTCGATTGAACTGAGGAGAACAAAGGTCAATCGGAGTCGATCTCCAGTTTTTTGGGGGGCAAAAATTATCGCGAAAAAAAAACTTTGAACTACATAGGATGGATGGTTTAAAATTATATGCGCTGGGTCGTAGCGAGAGAAGGGCACAGCAATCTATAAAATTCTTACTATCATCCGGAAAATCCTTTTAAGATTTCCCGGGAAAAATTATGGAAAAAATCCCGGGAAACATCAGGATTACTTCATATGAAACCTAAGAAACAATTTCCTTTCAGCATTCTGTGATAAATTTTGTCCGCAACCCTCTTGTAGGTTTCAGTTAAATTGTTTGGAGAATGTTTCCAAAATTACAAAGCATGCTTCGAAAAATTTGGACCGAACTTTTGGAAAACAATAACTTTTTCCGTAGATTCCAGTAGGCATCGCGTTCCAGCTTGTTCAGCTTCGCTTGCAATCAAAAATATGCTTATTCGGCTGAAAATAGGCTTCATTATCTGTTAATCAGCTAAAATTCTTCCTTTGATCTTATTTTATCTGGAAAGCAATTTTTTTTGCACAGTTTTAATACAGTTAACTCTACATATCTCGATGTTATTGATGGCAACACTGCTCGAGTTAAATCAAAGAAAGTTCATATCTGTTTTATATCACGGTAATGACTTCGAATATTCAGCAAAGTAGTTGGAGTATGAGCCAATGGCCATCCCGGGTTGCCATTAATGATTCTAAATTCTACCAGTAGATGGCAACACTGCTCCAATAGACTCAAATGAAGCTCAATATATCTCAGTTTCGTTTCAATATAGCGAATTCGAATGTTCAGCAAAGTTGGAAAATGTGGCAAAAGTTAGCGAGAGTTGTCATGAACGACTCTTAATTCTACCGAAAGATGGCAACACTGCTCGATTATAATCAAATGGAGCTCGATGCCTCGGTTTCGTTTCAAGATAGCAACATCGAATGTTCAGCAAAGTTGAAGTGGGCGTCGAGAGCCATCCAGGGTGGCCACGCAAGACTGATATTTCTGTCGTTAGATGGCAACACGCAGGTAGAATTAAAAGTAATGATTTCATGTATTCAGCTAAGTTGGAGTATGAGTCAAGATCCAGCCAGAGGTGCCATGAATGATAAGAAATTGGACAGGTAGATGGGAGCACTGCTCGAGCTTAATTATTCGGCTTCGTTTCATGATAGTGACTTTGAATCAGTGATTTTAACTGGTTATGTCTACTGGTGGAAACTAAATATAATCCGAATTGTTTTAACTGTGGTCTTAGCTTACAAGTAATATCTTGATCAAATGGAACGGACACTCGTTTCAAAGGTTCAGGTGCTGCAACGTGGGTGGTAAATAATCTTCTTTGTAGAATTCTCGCTTTTTTATCGATGATTGCCTGGATTGTGGTCTCCTTGTATCCGGTGAGTCTCACTGTTTCGTAGATGCACTGTAATTCCTTAACCTTTCCTGTATCGCTGAGTGGAAGACTCTGCATCCGATGTATCATGTTGGAACGAATGGTTGGAAGTATGGGGGATAACTCTTTCGGTGCTTGTTGGTTTCCTGTAAAAACCAACGGTTTAGTAATAGTCCTTTCTCCTTAAGAATTGTCTCCAAGTTGGCCATGAAAAATTCACACAGGAAGGAGGATAGGGGGTTTCCCATTGGGGCTCCTTTCGTCTGTTGTAGAAGTTACCTCGGAAAAAGAAGTAGTTCTCTTCCATACAAAGGCGGGTCAGCTTAAGGTACGTCCGAACCTTGTTTCTCCATGCTGCATCCTCTCGTTGTGTTAATAGCCAGTCCTCCAAATGGTTGATCGCTTCCTTGACCGGTACGCTGGGAAAAAGAGCTGTGACGTCGAAAGATACCATAATTTCGTCCTCATTGATGTCTCCTGAAGATTGTAGTTGCTGGGCAAAATCCTGGATGTTACTAACTGCTTTACTCTGGAACTGATTCGACATGCTCTGGAACTCTGTGACTAGCCACTTCGCTAGTTTGTGAATGGGGGAACCAACTGCAGACACGATCTCTCGCATTTCATTCCCCGGTTTGTGGACTTTGGGGAGACCTTTGATCCTGGGTAGAATGGGATTGGATTCCCGTAAACAACCTGCTCCATCTCCTAATATTGATTTGCACTCCTTCAGTGCTTTCTCCATGCGTTTTACTATGTTCTGTAAGGGGTCTACTCGAAGCTGTCTACACGGTCTGTTGTTAATCTTCGTTGTCATTTGATTGTCGTAGTCGTCTTTGTCCATGATATGATAACGACCGCGTTGCCCTTGTCTGCTTTAACGTAGTATACTGCTTTTCTTTTCAGCTTCTTTACAATCCGAATTTCCTTCTCGTTGGCTCGACTTTGTTCTTGTCCGTCCTTGATTATGTTCGATGTGATAGTCCTGACCGATGTTGGAAGTGTCTTGTGTAATCGCTGTCTCTACGTCAATGATGATCTGCTCCACGTCTGGCTTGGGTGTAACCGCGTATCCTAGCCCCTTGTTGAGGTGTGTCAATTGTTCTTCCGTGAATGCGGTCGTCGATCGGTTTACAACCAACCCTTTAATTGAGTGAACCCTCGGTGTCGTGGTGATGGTTCGGTGTGTCGTCCGTCTCCGTTGAGACTCGTGTCGTAGTCTGTTTAGCTTCCTATCGTGCAGTTTTCGTTTCCTATCCAATTCGAACTCGTCTGCTACCTTGGTCCTAGACAGAAACTCCTGGAATTTTATTGGATACTCTTTGGCCAATTTGAGGTGTAGAGAATAACATTCCTTTGATGCTATCCTTGATGAACTCTGCTTCCATCCTCGTTACTACGCTAGGTGGCGTGCGTGTTCGTACCTGAATCCTATGGGTCATAGGTATAACCTTATACTTTTGGCATTTCTTCAGAAATGCTACGTCCTTACGAAGTGATGCGATGGTTTTCTTCAATCCGATGAATTTATTTGGCTCCAACGGCTTGGTTGCCATGATGAATCTTGATGAATGCGGGTGTCTTAGTGGAATACCTATATAAAGACGCGTATTTCATCTACAATGTGCAGACTTCTGCGATGTTTTTCTTCAGTCGAGTATTAGTACAAGACACTGAAGAAGTCTGCACATTGTAGACGAAATACGCGTATCTGTCAAGGATAAGCAAATAAGGTAGTGGAATTAAATGGAAATTACTAATCCTTCTCCCTCTCTTTATACAGGTATTCCACTAAGACGCCCACATTCATCAGGATCCATCAGTAATATTAAAGAAATGCAACGGTTATAAAAAAAAACATGATTTTTTTTATATAAAAGTAAGATTTTTCAACTTTTTCTAGCCTGAGAGATGAACCAGGCCGGGCTGAAATTCTCATTAATAAAGATAAAAAAAAACTAGTGATATTCATATGGATAGTAATTTCAAACCCGTACCGCCTGATATCATGCTTACTACGAATATCAGTGTTGAAAGTGAAATTCAGTGATAATCCAATATCTTACGTCAATTGACATTGTTGACAGAACGCCGCCCTGCTTCCGAGGAAGGCGACTCTATCTACGATGCAGCAAAGATTGTGTTTTACTGTCGCTAGCTGCGCGAGATTGATGACGATTCTGAAGATTTCCTGCATAAAGATAATGCGCGATGCAAGTAGATGCGAGTAATGTAATGTAAGGTTGTCCGAAGATTGATTCGCTAGTGTGAGATTTTTTGAGCATCTAGAAGTGATATTTAGATGTATCGCCCCCCTCGCCTGCTTCGAATGTTTCTCAAAATTGGAATATGAGTCAAGAACAAACCAAAATTGTCATAACTGATTCTAAATTCTACCGTGATATGGCGGTATTGCTCGAGTACACTCAATTAGAGCGGAATCACATCAAACTGATTCACTCCAGAAAGCTTCGAAATCCCTTAGGAAAGAAGTGCTTCACTTCATAAAAGTTAGGATTCACTTCAAACGTACTGTGTGTATTTGTGTGTATTCCATACACGCTTCCAGGTCAGGTAATTTTGATTTTCTCTAAGCTTTGCATATCATTTCGTGATGCACCTTTGTCGTACTACCATAGAGGTAACTCTAAGACTAGAAGGTCCCGAAATAAAGTGCTCAACTTTTTGGCTCAGTTCTGGTACTCTCTTCGGTCCCAAGCTAATCGATTCACCCCTCGAAACATAGGAAAATCCACTAAACCCTAATTTTATCTGTCAAATTTTCATAGCGAATCAAAACAAACATAGTGTAGTACTAGAATTTCGACTAGAATGGGGTACGTTAATCGATTTGCTTGGGACCACAGGCTAGTCAAGTAGTGAGCAAATTTAAAATCGTTAGTTTCCACCCGTTGGTACTACTTCCTTTAACGAACACAAATTTTCTTGCATTGCCATGGACATCTGGGAGGAGGGTCGCGTCTAGTGCTTTCCCCAGGAACAGTTCGCGACCACCAACTGCCACCCGTCCAGTCTTAGGCGGCACCGGCGAGAGACCACTTTTGCAAGTGGAAAACTTGCTGATTCACGGCAACGTCAGCCACCGAATCACCACCAAAACTCGCGACGGACACATTATGAACACGTTCCCGGGCTAATTCACCAACCGGACCGATCTCTCAATAGAACTACACGCCGAAAGTGTAGCTCGGAGAACCGGACTCCCGGGAGGCAATGAAAATCAACACCGAACAATGGAACTGAATATGCGTTGTATATTTTGGAGGTTAGATTCAAGGTCAACCGAGCCACTCAAGGCAAACACGATGGCCTTTATTACCGATGTCACTTCACGGTGAAGTGACAACTTGTCACTTACGGTAAAGTGATTCCCATTTGA